GGCGGGGTGGGGGGGGAACAGGCTGCGTTGCCATGGCGACGCCGCTAGGCCCCGGTGCGTGTGAGAGAGGCCCCGTGGCCAAAGGGTGGGGGGAAAAATCCCCCGTTTTCCCCCCGTTTCCTTTATTTCTTCCCCTCATTTTCCATCGTTTCCTACTATTTTCCCTCGTTTCCTTTCATTTCCCCCCTCATCTCCTGTTTTCCCTCATTTCCCCCTCGTTTCCCGCCATTTTCCCCCTCGTTTCCCACCATTTTCCCCGTTTCCTGCCATTTCTCCCTTGTTTCCCGCCATTTCCCCCTCATTACCCCTATTTTCCCCTAATTTTCCTCTATTTTCCCCCTCGTTTCCCATCATTTTCTCCTCGTTTCCCATCATTTTCCCCTTGTTTGCCATCATTTTCCCCTCGTTTCCCTTGGTTTTCCCATTGTTTCCCCTCATTTTCCCATCGTCTCCCCCTGTTTCCCCCCATCTCCCCCACCCGCAGCTGGTCCCTGTTCACCCCACACGCAGTGATGCCCGGGAGCCCTAAACACCGTGTTTCTCTTCCAGGGATCGTGCAGTACCTCCCCGCTTTGGCTGCGGGGTCTCTCCCCATCGGCGCCATGTACCTGCGGTGCCTCTCCAGGGCCATGAGCATCCCGGGAGCCACGAGCATCCCGGGAATGTCGGCACCAGGCAGGTGCTGGGCATCGTGCCCCTACAAAGCCGTGATCTTTGACGTGGGCGCCGTGCTCCTGCCGGCCCCTCACAGGGTGGCTGCAGGTTTGTATCTTCATCCCGCCTCGCTCTTCTTACACGTCCAGGCAGATTTCACATCGCTTTAGTGCTTCACTCGGCTTCCAGTTGGATATTAAAGAATTTGATGATTTTGCTGGTAGCCCTGCCCAGCTCAATTGCACCATTCACAGAACTAGCACTGACAATTGTCATTTTGTGATGTCCCCAGGTCAGGGCCTGAGCACATTGGCAGATTAAACCGTCCTGCAATAACCCCAGCGGACACCACCTAGCAGTGGCACCCGGTGCTTCAGGACACTTTAAGGACAAGACGTTTTCACCCCCAGTTCACCCCATCTAAAATGGGGATGAGGCACTTTGATTTGGGGGATGCCAGAACTTCTCTCTGCAGCTGGATAAATGGCTTTAGTCCAGCACGTCTCATGTGGCATTGTCTGAATCAGATTTCAGGGATTTCTAGCTAGTTTCTCAGCTCTGATGATGCCGTTTGTGCTCTCTCCTGACTTTCTTCCTTTCCTCTATATAGACTGGGAGGTCCAGAATTGTATTCCAGCTGGCACCGTCCAACAAGCTGTACTTGCTGGAGGGGAAAATAGTCCCTCTCTGAAGTACACCAGAGGAGAGCTGTCGACTGTGGAGTTTTTGCAGGAATTTGGACAGCAGTGCTTTGACATTGTAAGCCAACTCCCATCTCCTTTCTTTGTGCTTCCTGACTATAGGGAAATGGGATCCTGC